GCCTCCCAGAGTGTTAGGATTACATGCATGAGCCGCCGCACCTGGCCTGATTATGATTTTTTTAAAAGTCTCACAAAGTCTTGATTCACATTTTGAATTTACTAGAGGAATATGGGGTGGCACTGCAGGTCAATTTCTCTTCCTTTTCTCTGGGTTTCGGGACTTTTCCCTCTGATCTCTACCCTTTGTTGTTACAGAGATGCAAAGGATCTGAATTTATTTTACGCAGTGGCATGACTTTTTTCTTATTAGGTTTACATTTAAGATAAGACCTTTCCTTTATCTTATTCTTATATTATGGGCTTATTGTGTGTTTCAATCTTTCTCTTCCTTCCGTCCTTCCATTTCTCTTTCTTTCTCTTTTTATTTCTTTTTTTTCTTTCTCCTTCCTTCCTCCTTCCCTTCCTTCCTTCTTTCCTTCCTTCCTTCTTTCTTCCTTCCTCCCTCCCTTTCTTGTCAGGGTCTTGCTTTCTCACCCAGGCTGGAGTGCAGTGGCCTGATCACAGTTCACTGCAGCCTTGAACTCCTGGGCTCAATCTTCCTGCCTCAGCCTCTCAAGTAGCTGGTGCATGCCACCATGCCTGGCTAATTATTTTTCTTATTCTTTTTTTAGAGATGGGGGTTGTACTATGCTGTGCTGACTGGTCTCGAACTCCTGGCCTCAAGCAATCCTGCCTCAGGCTTTTCCTTAACTTTTGTAGCTGTAACATTTTTTTTTTTTTTGAGACAAAGTCTCACTTTCTTGCCTGGGCTAGAGTGCCGTGGTATCAGCCTAGCTCACAGCAACCTCAAACTCCTGGGCTCAAGTGATCCTCCTGCCTCGGCCTTCCGGGTAGCTGGGACTATAGGCACGTGCCACCATGCCCGGCTAATTTTTTCTATTTTAGTTGTTTGGCTAATTTCTTTCTATTTATAGTAGAGACGGGGGTCTTGCTCTTGCTCACGCTGGTCTCGAACTCCTGAGCTCAAGCAATCCTCCTGTCTAAGCCTCCCAGAGTGCTAGGATTACAGGTGTGAGCCACCATGCCCGGCCGGTAGCTGTAACATTTTTTAAGACTACAGCTTATTTTGTAGAGTAAACCTTAATTTGGTTTGTCTGATACTTCCTCATGATTAGAATCAGGTTATACATTTTTTGGCCAGAATATAACAGAACTGATGCTGTATTCTTCTAATTGCATCCTATCAGGTGGCAAACTATTTCTTTTTTCTTTTTGCATGATTTATTTTTTATTTCAGAGTATTACGGGGGAACAAACACACACTATTTCTTTATGTCCCATTATGATGATGTTCATGATGATCATTTGATTAAAGTGGGGTTGGACAGACTCCACTGTAAATTTACTCTTTCCCATTTGTAATTTGTAAGTATTTTGGTAGGGGAAATCTTTGAAAATATGTAAATGTCTTATTCCATATCAATCTATTTACTTATATATCACTATGGTTTTCCATTTTATTCAATGACTTATAATCTGTTAACCATTATTTATTTTGATGTTCAAATTGGATCAGTGGGAGCCTATTCAAGCTGGTGTCTGTATGCCCTTGACATGTTCCCATCATTCTTTGAACACTTCCTTACTTTCTGGCACAAGATGATCCAGGCTCAACTTGTGCATTTCCTGCCCAGTTAGTGGAGTCAGCCATTTCTCCAAGGATCCCTGGTTCCTTTTAGTAGAGAATAATAGTTAGAAGCCAACATCTGGGCACTATGGGTACTCATTACTAGAGTGCCTTTGCTACTAGGACTTCTCAGTGGAAAGAGCCAGGGGAAATAAATGTACACACAAATACATACACATATGTTACACACACCACATATACACATATATAGTATATGTATGTACACATACATATATAAATATATATATACATTTACATCTACATCTATCTTTATATAGTCAGCCCTCTGTATCCCCAGGTTCCACTTCCTCGGATTCAACCAACTGCAGATCAAAAATATTCAGAAAAAATGAAAAATAATACAATAAAAATACAAATTAAACACCTAATACAGTATAACTATTTTACATAGCCATTTATATTGTATTAGGTATTATAAGTAATTTAGAGATGATTTCAAGTATACAAGAGAATGTGTGTAGATTATATGCAAATAGTATGGCATTTTATGTAATGGACCTGAGCATTAGCAGATTTTGGTATGGGGAGGGGTCCTGAAAGTAATCAACCATGTGTATTGAGGGACAACTATATATTTTAAGCCTTGAGTTTGTGCTGATATTTCTAATCCAACATTACAGAGTTCATTTCTCTCTTTTCGTATTTGTAACTTCGTTCTGTAACAGTGAGAAACTGCACTCCAATTATCCTTAACATATTTACTTATTTGGTCAATCCTTCTGAATGTAAGCAACCTCCCAGTCACTGCTGCCCTCTCCCCTTCATGGAAACCCTTCTTACCCAATTTGGGACCCAATAAACTGCATCAGGCCGATGCTACCTTCCTCCCTCATGTGAGTGTCTTCTTTAACTTACCTGTACTCTGAGACCCCAACCACACCAAACACAGACACCTACCTTGCTTTACTTGACCTTTAGGACTGAATTGTTCCAGGAAGGGAAAGGAAAGGAAGGGGAAAAGGGACCATGATTTCTTTAACATGCTTTTTAAAGCCACCCTTTTACTATTACAGACAATATTGCAATGAATAATCATATCTATAAAAGCTTAGTGTATGTTTAAGACATATTCCTAGAAGTGAACTTGCTGAGTCAAGGAGTATGTGCATGTGCAATGGTGTTGGTTCTGCTACAATGCTTTCCACAGTTTGACAATTTACATATCCACCAGCAACACATGATGGTGCCTGAAAGAACTTAAAAGAATGGTAATTGTAAAACACAGAAAGACCTAAAAGTTACATGATGACATTTGCAAAACTTAAGAAAACTTACTTTCTCTTTTTGGAAATACATTTATTGTTATACAAAATTTTCTACTATTTAGTTTCTTGGTAACAAAGATGAAACAAAATTTAGCTGTTACAAACAAATTTTGTAACACAAAACAATAACCAAACAAATGGGGTAAAAAGTAACTAAAAGAATCCTCAGGCCTGGTGGTGCACCCCTTGTAGTCCCAGCTCCTCCAGAGGCTGGAGAGCCAGGATACCTGAGCCCTAGAGTTCAAGGCCAGCCCCGGCAAAAAAGCTAGACCCAGTCTCAAAAACAAACAAACAAAAACAAAACAAAAAGTTCATGAAGAACCATCAGAAACATAAATTAGGGCCCTTAGCTAAACAGGATTTAGTGCAGTAGATCTGTAACTTATAAGGCAAAAAATGATACCCCTAGAAAGCAGGATGACACAAAACGGCGACGAAGTAATTTTCTACCACACTTGTTAGTCAGATACTTGTCAGAAAACTGTTGTCCAGGTTATGAGCTCAAATTCTTTCTGCTGCTGGCAGTGTTATCGGGATGCTTGTTGGTGAGTGTCCCTTGCCATTGCCTTGCGCAGGTCAGAAACTGGATGATGGGAGTCTGAAGCTGGGCAGTTTGTTCAGGATTTCCCGGGCTTTAGCACTGGACGTGCTACATCCTGGGTATCCCCTCAGTTCCAAGAAAACTTGCACATTGGCCACACTAGGACTAGATGAGATCTGTGTCCAGTACAGTTGTCAGTAGCCAGGTGTGGCTACTTACTTTTTTTTTTTTTTTTGAGGCAGAGTCTCACTCTGTCACCCTGGGTAGAGTGCAGTGGCATCCTCACAGCTCACTGCAACCTCAAATTCCTGGGCTCAAGCCATCCTCCTGCCTCAGCCTCCTGGGTAGCTGGGACTACAGGCACGCGCCACCACGCCTGACTAATTTTTCTATTTTTTTTTGTAGAGACGGGGTCTTCCTCTTGCACAGGCTGGTCTCGAACTCCTGACCTCAAGCGATCCTCCCGCCTCGGCCTCCCAGAGTGCCAGGATTACAGATGTCAGCCACCACGCCCGGCCTTAAATAAAATTAAAAATTAAGTTCCTCAGTTGCAGTAGTCACATTGCAAGGGCTCAACAGCCCTATGTGGCCAGTGGCTACCCTATTAACGCAGACGCAGAACATTTCCATCTTCGCAGAAAGTTCTATAGGACAGGGCTGATGCCGACAGTTGAGAGTTAAAAAAACAAAACAAAAGCCTGGAAGCCAGTGGGCTCCACCACCAGTAATAACCAACAGACGTTATTACTCTCTCCAAACAGGATGAGGGAAAAAAATTATGCAAAGAGGCCGGGCGCGGTGGCTCACGCCTGTAATCCTAGCACTCTGGGAGGCCGAGGAGGGCAGATCGTTCTGAACTCAGGAGTTCGAGACCAGCCTGAGCAAGAGCGAGACCCCGTCTCTACCAAACAATGGAAAGAAATTAATTGGACAGCTAAAAATATATGTAGAAAAAAAAAAATTAGCCGGGCATGGTGGCGCGTGCCTGTGGTCCCAGCTACTTGGGAGGCTGAGACAGTAGGATTGCTTGAGCCCAGGAGTTCGAGGTTGCTGTGAGCTAGGCTGACGCTACGGCACTCGCCCCAGGCAAGAGAGTGAGACTGTGTCTCAAAAAACAAAACAACAAAAAAAAAATTATGCAAAGAAACACCACCTAAAACCCCGCCACGGCACCTGCCAACGGGCTTTCTCTGGGAACCATTCGACGTAATTTCCACAGCTGAGGCCGGGGGTCCAGGGATGTGGAGCAACTCCGCAGACTTCAGGACGCAGGGAACTCCCAAAGAGGTGGGCGTTCGAAGGCCGAGACCCCCGAGGCATAATTTTCCAAAGTGGTGGACGCCTGTATCCCCCAGTGGGCGAGCTTCGGCCGGGGCCCCTAAAGCGCCTCTCCGCACCGCGCCGGACGCCAACTCGAATCACACACCCCTCGCGTCCGCGCGCTCCCGCACGCGCGCCCGCCTGCAGGCCTGGGGCTCCCGGCAGCCAATGGGGCGGGTCGCCGCGCGCAGGGGGCGGGGCCGTGACGCTCCTGCCGCGTGACCCTGCTCTTGGCCTGCGCCCGCGGAAGCCGGAAGCGGCAGCTGTCGGCGGCGCCGGCTGTGGGCGGAGGATACGAGACTAGCGCCTGGGGGTTTGTCGACCCCGTGATGGATCCGGACCCGACAGTCGCGCTGCGGAGGTCGTCGTTGCTGCAGTGGCTACTGCTGGTGCTGCTGCTGTGGTCGGGGCTGGCTCTGGGCGCGCTCCCTTTCGGCAGCAGTCCGCACAGGGTCTTCCACGACCTCCTGTCGGAGCAGCAGTTGCTGGAGGTGGAGGACTTGTCCCTTTCCCTGCTGCAGGGTGGAGGGCTGGGGCCGCTGATGCTACCCTCGGACCTGCCGGATCTGGATCCCGAGTGCCGGGAGCTCCTGCTGGACTTCGCCAACAGCAGCGCGGAGCTGACAGGGTGTCTAGTGCGCAGCGCCCGGCCCGTGCGCCTCTGTCAGACCTGCTACCCCCTCTTCCAACAGGTCGTCAGCAAGATGGACAACATCAGCCGAGCCGTGGGGGTGGGTAAAGGAGCACACCTAGGACCTATGGCGTGGGAGGGTTGGAAAAAGAGGAAGATGTAATGATGGTAAACTCTGGGGGGGCCTCAGTTTCCCCAACCATAAGAAAAAGGTTGGACTGGGTCTCTGGAGTTTGGGGCATCAGAAAAAGGGGGTGGCATTATGGGGCTTGGGATTTGGATTTTTGCTTCCATGAATGCTATTGGACATTTGGGTGCATATTTGCAGACAGGTATGATTGTTTTTTGGGGGGAGGTCCTGCTTCCCTAACCCTGTTTTCTTCCCCCCACTCTGCCACAGCTTCTTGTCATCTCCACCTGAAGTTCCCAGGAAGGACCCTCTTCTGAAACCACCATAGGAGCTTGAGCTTTGTAGCAAGAAATGCTCAGTTCCGCCATTCTCTAGCAGTGTGACTTTGGATTAATTTTCTTTTTAGAGCCTTAGTTTCCTCCTCTATAAAAATGAAAAAAAAACAGCTGCCTAATGTGGCAGTTAAAAGGATTAAAAGAGATACTGCCTGCAAGTTCATCTTAGTGATACAGACCATCTGGAGCTAGTTGGCCAGGAGTTCAGTCCCACTCTGATTATTAGCAATATACTCTGGGCAAGTTACTTGCATTCTTAGTGCCTATTTTCTCTTCTGTAAAATGGGGATAAAAGGAGGTCTTAAGAAACTGACACATAGTAATAGCTCTCTGTAAATGGGAGCTAGAATTTTAGGAAATGATAAGTCTGCCCTTCATTTTAGTACCTTGAGAGCTCTTCTGGTTATGTAGTACGCACTATGAGGGATTTAATAAAAAAAAAAAAAAAGAAGACACAGTCTCTGTTCCTCAGTACTTTATAGGGTTTAGGCTAGGAAATGATTAGAGTGTCCAGGCTGGTGGGAATCACGAGGTGTGGGCCGGATATGCTTGGTAAAGGAAAAACATGAGGAATCATATTGGGATTGGGGAGTGGGAAAGTTCCTCTTGTTTTGATGGAATGACAAGTAGTTTCATGAAAATAGTGGTTAGAAGTATTTCATAAATCATAGTTGATTTGACTAAAATATAGTCTCATCCTGCTTTAAGTAAGCCTGATATTACTTAACATAAAGCTATTATTTTACATAAAAGGAGGATTTATTTGCACTAAATAAATTCTGTGGTTGATCTTTCTGTAAAGAGCTAGTTTTCAAAGTAGTTTAAATAAATTTAGGCTTACATGCAATAATTTCCAGGCATACTTCCATTGTTACATTGGGTATAGCAAGATCGATCAATCAATCTATCTTATCATGACTTTAAAATACTCAAGATTTATTCTTGTCAGCTATAGCAGGGTAGGATATGGCATTATATTTGGTTTTGAGCAGTTAGGTGAGTTGTTTTTAGGGTGTCATTTACTCTGAAGAACAAGTACTATTGTGGGTAAAATGACTGTGAATCATGATGCAAAGCTTGGATCTTTTGAGGTAGCAACTGCTTTCCTCATTTGTGTAGATACTGTGGAATTGAGGAGAAAAGTATCGCCTCAAACCCTAGTGTTCAGTGTTATGGGCATCACCCAATCTATGTATGAATTTCCACACGAATTCCTCACTGCGCAGGGGAGGTGTCCCAGTGTCCAGGTTGCAGAAACTTCCTCTCTCTCAGATTCTACCAGTAACCTGGGCACCCAGCTCACGTCACCCTGGTGTGAAAGGAAGAGGGTAAAGAGATGAAAAGAAAAACCCTTTCCCCAATCTGCATTTCCTCTCCACCTCATCCTAGTCCTTGATCTCTGTTCTCCTTCTTTCCCCAGTAGAGCTGGATATGGCTCATTAGCTCAAAAGCATGATTTCTACAGTTCTGAGATACTTTGTGGATTTAAAAGGCTTTTATAGACTGGTTTAGGAATTGAACCATCGTGTATAAAAATGTCTCCTAAGTTTCTTATGAGTTAACTTGAAGGAATATGTTGTCATTAGGGGAAGTTTATTTCTCCAGAGTATTGTATTTTTTTTTTATTCACTTAGACACAGTCTTTCATTTAAATCCGTTTAACTAGCATGCACCTACCATTCTTGAATTTCAGGCTGCTCAAAGGATCTAGAAGGAAAAGGAGGATAAGGTCCAGGCCTCCAGCTATCAGTATAGTTCAGGAAATAAACTTATATTGAGAAAAAGAAAAAAGGAAAATACCAGTGTGTTGTAAATTGTACAATGGAAATTTAGAGCAAAATTGTGAAGGGGTGCAGGGGATGCTGAGTTAAAGGAGGGAACAGAGCAATGTTAGTTAATCAGAGAGAACCTACAAGCTGAATTTTGTTGTTGTTTTTGAGACAGTGTCTCACTCTTTCGCCCGGGCTAGAGTGCAGTGGCATCGTTATAGCTCATGCAACCTCAGACCGTGGGGCTTCAGTGATATTCCTGTCTCAGCCTCTTGAGTAGCCCTACCACCCCTGGCTAATTTTTCTGTTTTTTTGTAAAGACAGGGTCTCACTCATGCTGAGGCTGGTCTCGAACTCCTGGCCTCAAGCAATCCTCCTGTCTCAGCCTCCCAAAATACTAGGATTACAGGTGTGAGCCATTATGCCCAGCTACAAGCTGAATTTTAAACAAAGCATCCTTTCTCACCTTCTTGAGGATGAATGGACATGGGTTGATTCAAAGAAGAGAGGAGTATAACAAGTAGAAAAAAGAATCAAAGGCAGAAAATAGCAAGCTATTTATGTGGTACAGCCAGCTAATTAGTTTAACTGTAATAAAATTCTCTACTAAGAATCCTATGTTCTTGTCACTTCCTCTTAGAAGTACTGGGACAAGGACTGCAGATAGTTTTATTATCTCAAGGTAAAGAATGCAGTGATTTGTGAAACCTGAATGGCAGAACTGATGGATTCCCTCTTCCTTAGAGTCATACTTTCTTTTAGTTTAAGCTGATAGGGACATGGTTTCATTGAGCTGTTCAGCATCATCAAAGTGGTTTTGAGGATGCTTTAGCGCCCTCAGATTCTAAATTGGTAAGCTCTATTCTATTCTACTTGGTTTGTTTAAAATTTAGGTAGGTAGATGTATGTATGTATATATAGGTACTATAAATGTAAATTCATGATGGTGCTAGTCATTTGGGTTATGTTTCTGGTCAGTATTCAATTTGCTTTTAGTGTAGATTAATAAATTCTTAGGAATATAGGGACAAAATTGGAACACAGCACAACATAATCTATATCTTTCATTAGAGATCATAAAATTTAATGCTTTTTATACATTTGTTCAAAAAATTATTGAGTCCCTATTATGTGCAGGCTGTGGTAGTTACTAGGAATGTAGCTGTGAATGAGCAGAGCTGATAGTCTGAAAACAGACATTAAGCATATCATATACAAGTAATTATTTAATTCAGATGTGGTAAGTTTTACAAAGAAAAAACCCAGATGTTGTCAAAGCATATGTTAATAACAAGGATCCTGATCTTAAGTATGACTGAGGGTAGGTAGAGTGGTCAGTGATTAAAACTGACATGTAAAATTTGAGAGGGTCTCGGGGCAAGGGAGAGAAGGTACGTATAAAGAAGTAGCAGGTGTGAAGATTCCGAGATGGGAAAGGGTTTGGTGTGTTTGAGGACTAGAAAGAGACTAGTAATCTGCATCTGAAGAAGTGGGTAGGTGCCAGGTCATGTGGGCCTTGTAGAGTGTGTTAAGAATTTTACACTTGGATTTTAAAGCAGTGTGACGTTTTTGAAAGGTTTAATTCTGCAGAATGACATGATCAGATTTGTACTTTAAAAGGCCATTCTGGCTATGTGACAAAAAATGGAGGGACTGGGGGCTGGGGAGGGAAAGGGAAAAAGATATGTGGGGAGATGAATTAGGAGACTATTGCAGTGGTGTGAGAAATGGTGGTGGCTTGCCACATGAGGGCCATTATGATGGGGAGAAGTGGGTATGTTTCAGAGATATTTAGGAGGCAGAAATATTAAGACTTGGTGGTTAATTGAATGTGGGTAGTAGGAGAGAGGAAATGATGATTTCTAGGGTTTTCTTATAATAAGAGCAGCTTAGTAAATAGGATTGCCATTGACTGAGATGGAGGGAGGAGCCTGTTTAGTAGAGGAAGATCATTAACTCAGTTTTGAACTCATTGATTTTGAGGTGTTCAAGAGTCATCTAAATGGAGGTACTGCGTATGTGGTATACGTGTCTAGAGGTCTGGACCCGAGATAATATGTTTGGGAGTGGTCAGCATAAAAATGGTATTTGAAACCATGACATGGATGAGCATACCCGAGGAATGAGTAAGAACACTAGGAATTGAAGATTGGGTAGAGGATAAACTATCAAAGGAGACTGAGAAGGAAGATGAGACTGAGAGATGAAGAAACATCAGGAGAGCATGTTCTGTAAGTCAAGGGAAAGGGAAGGGCTTGTTATTTGTGTCAAATCCTGCTGAGAGGATTAGAAGTACATCTATCAACATCAGCATTATTGGCGACACTCACAAGAGTGGTTTTGATGGAGTGCTTGGGTGTGAAGGCAAGATTAGAGTGAGTTAAACAGTGAGTGGAGATGAGGAAGTGGGAAGAGTGAGCCTAGATGACTGTTAAAGGTTTAACCTTGAAGGGAAAATAAGAAAGAGAGGTCATTAAGGAGGAACGTGGGACTCATGGATTTTCTTTCTATTCCTTTGTCCCTCCATTCCTCTGTTCCTTCTTCCCTTCCTCCCTTCCTAAGATGGGAGAGAGCTGAACACATTTATTATTATTGTTATTATTTTTGTAGAGATGAGGTTTAGCTATGTTGCCCAGGCTGATCTCGAACTCCTAGTCTCAAGCCATCCCACCTTGGCCTCCCAAAGTGCTGGGATTACAGGTGTGAGCCTGTAGAGGAGGTGAATGATCCTGTAGGAGGGAGTAGGGAAGTAGACAAAGCCATTTTCCAGATAAAGTAGGGTAGATGGGATCTAGGGCATGTACAGAGAGACGGGCCTTTGACAGGGGCAGGCACTTTCTCCACTGTGATTTGAGGGTGAAAGGAGAGGTTGGGTGTAAAGGTAGGGAGGTCAGAGTTTCAGCTCCATGGCTTCTGTTTTCACTGTCATCCAGGAGGTTAGATCTCTCTCTCTCTTTCTCTTTCTCTTTCTCATTCTTTCTCCCTCCCTCTCCCCCCGCCCCTTTTCAAATAAATAGAGTCTTGCTCTGTCACCCTAGGCTGGAATGCAGTGGTGACATCATAGCTCACTGCAGCCTCAAACTCCTTGGCCCAAGTGATACTCCTGCCTCAGCCTCCCACGTAGCTGGGACTACAGGCATGTACTACCATGCCTGGCTTTTTAAAAAAATTTTTTTTGTAGAGATGGGGTCTCGCTATATTGCTCAGGCTGGTCTGGAACTCCTGGGCTCAAGTGATCCTCCTGCCCCAGACTCCCAAAGTGCTGGGATTACAGGTTTGAGTCACTGCACTGCTGGGATTACAGGTTTGAGCCACTGTACCCAGCTAGATCTTCTCTTGAGAGTAAAGATTGGGAGCGAGATCAGAGTTTCAGGGAGAGTGGGGAAGATTTGAAATAGTGGTTGTAAAGAAGAGAGAATGGACAGGCAGGAAAGTGAGAAGTGTAGTTTGGGATTATAGATTTATTGTGGAAACAATCTGTTATCTATTTTTTGCCAAGAGCTCCTGACTTCCTGGGTGCAGGCATGATAAAAGTGGATGGTTGGGTTCATGATGGTTAGGGTTCTGCCAAGTGGTTATGACAGATTTGATATTGTCTCACTTTATGTATGTATGTATTTATGTATGTATGTATTTATTTATTTGTTTGAGACAGGGTCTTGCTCTGTTGCCCAGGCTAGAGTGTAGTGGCGCTATCATAGCTCATTGCAGCCTCAAACTCCTGGGCTCAAGCAATCCTCCTGCCTCAGCCTCCTAAGCAGGTGGGACCACAGGGTGCACACCACCATGCCCCACTCATTTATTTTACTGTTATAGAGACGGGTTTCACTATGTTGCTCAGGTTGGTCTCAAAGCTCCTGGCCTCAAGTCATCCTCCCATCTTAGCTTCTCCAGTAGCTGGGATTACAGGCTGGAGCCACTGTGCCTGGCTATCAACAATATTTTTTTTTTTTTTTTTTGAGACAGAGTCTCACTGTGTTGCCCGGGCTAGAGTGAGTGCCGTGGCATCAGCCTAGCTCACAGCAACCTCAAACGCCTGGGCTCAAGCAATCCTTCTGCCTCAGCCTCCTGAGTAGCTGGGATTACAGGCATGCGCCACCATGCCCGGCTAATTTTTTTTCTATATACTTTTAGTTGTCCGATTAATTTCTTTCTATTTTTAGTAGAGACGGGGTCTCGCTCTTGCTCAGGCTGGTTTCGAACTCGTGAGCTCAAACAATCCGCCTGCCTCGGCCTCCCAGAGTGCTAGTATCAGCAATATTTTAAAGCAAGAATTCTTCCTTTAAGTCCGCCTTCCCTTTTTTCTCACCCCACATGGCTGATCAGTTCTTTCCCTGGAGTTACCATTGTCTCTCTTTTATTACTCACCACACTGTAGAACTCCTTATCTGTGGGGGGAGGTTCTTAAAACCCCAGTGTTGATGGCATTCTTTTACACTTTTTGTATCCTCAGGATTTTTATAGTACCTGATAAATGGTAAAAGTTAAATAACTTTGAAGAATGAAGAGTCAGCAGGACTTAGTTCCTTGCTTGGGGCACAAGAAAAAGGAAATAGATAAGGATCGAATAATTTAGGAACTTGGATTTATGATTTGCATAGCATGAGTTTCTTTCGTTATTAAAATGATCTGTGGAAAGTGTGTTCTTCTATCTGAGTATATACTATTTGGGTATAATTTGGATGTTTCACACTTTCTTGTGGATTATATGACTTTGAACCAAAAATTGCCCAAAAGATGAAACCAAATGATGGTATGGTCATTTACCCACCAGATTTAAAAAATTATGTAAATAGTATATATTCATTGTAGAAGAATTTCGCATAAGAGAAGCAAAAGCGAAAATGAAAATCACCATATTTCCATTATCCAGAGATAGCCACTGCTACATTTTTGTAAATAGCTTTCCAGAGTTTCTTCCTATGCATAAAAGTAAGAAATACGACACATAAGCAATTTGGACCTAAGTAGTTGAGATTGTGCTATAGAAGCAAATACTTAAGAAGCAAAGCTTTTCTTGCCTTGTAAGTGAAACTGGTACCAATAAATGTTAGCTGCTTATAGTTTTATTACCATTGTTATTAATGCCATCATTATCTGATCATATCAAACAAAATGTTAAAAGGTTTGTAATAAAAATTTTTATTATTTTTATAAGGTTTTTGCCTCAAGTTGTTGTTTGGAAAGTCTAAAAATACTCAGATTGTATTTTTCTATCTTCTTTTTGTTACAGAATACTTCAGAGAGTCACAGTTGTGCCAGAAGTCTCTTAACGGCAGATAGAATGCAAGTAGTTGTGATTCTCTCTGAGTTTTTTAATACTACATGGCAGGAAGCAAATTGTGCAAGTAAGTAATTCTTTCATTTTCATGTTGCAGTTATGATTCAGTAGTATAGAAGCCAGATTTTATTTTGGAATCTTTGAAGCTAGATAATACTTTTTATTACTAAGTTTGTATGAATAGTCATTAACATCATAGTTTATTAGTGGTAACTACTCGGGCAAACACTGAAAGGCAGGAAAGTGTAGTGGTTAATAATATGAGCTTTGGAGTCAGACAGACATGGGTTTGATTCTAAACTCTGCCCCTTTCGCTTACTGGCCCTAACTTACTAGCTCTCAGACTTTGGGCAAGTAACTTTGCCTCTTGGACCTTCAGTTTCTTCATTTGTAAATTGGTGGTAATAGTAGAACCTATCTTATACAATTGCTTTGAGAATTAAGTGAAATAAATTATATGAAGCACTTAGCTCAATGCTTGACACATATTTAATGTTCAATAAATGTTAACTGTTTAGTATAATAATAATTATGATGTTTATAATAATCTGTCAAATGGTGTCGGGGGATAGGGGGTGATAACATCTGTACTACCAGCTTTGCAGGTTTGTGTGTAATTATGGAATAAAATGATATCTATTTTTAGATATTATTTGGAAAAATTAACATCGCTATTCCAATTCAGATGTGTTTTGAATAACAACTATGTGCTAGGCAGTTCTTATCTTCCAAGTCTTATAATTTAGTGAAGGAGAAAGATATATTTACAAATACAACCTAGGGCAGACAAATTAATGCTTTAATAAAGTTATAGTGTCCTTTGGGGAAGTAGAAAATAAATCTAATTGGGGAGAATGTGAAATGACTTCCTGGAAGGATTACCTTTTGAAGCCAGGCCTTTACAGTTGGGCATGAGATGAGAGAGGGACATTGCAGATAGAAAGGCATCATGGGCAGAGGCACAGAGGTATAAAGGGGTAATAGATGTTCCAGAGTCCTGGAAGCACAACAGGAGATAAAGTTGGCAAGGGAAGGTAGGACCTTGACTGATACAGTGGTTTATTATTTGGGCCAACATTTCTCATACTGCTTAGAATACCATCATATTATTAAGAAAGGGTTATACAGTAGTCCTTCCTTATCTGCAGTTTTGCTTGCAGTAACCCACAGTCAACTATAGTGCAAAAATTTTAAATGGAAAATTTCAGAAATGAGCAATTCATAAGTTTTAAATTGCATGTCGTTCTGAATAGTGTGATAAAATCTCATGCCATCCTGCTTCCTCCCACCCAGGCAGATGTGAATCATCTCTTTGTCCAGCATATCCACGCTATATATGCGCCCTGCTCGTTAGTCACTTAGGAGCTGTCCTGGTTTTCGGGTTGATTGTCACAGTATCACAGTGCTTGTGTTCAAGTAACCCTTATTTTACTCAATAACACTTTACTAATAATAACTTAATTATTAGTCATTGTTACTAATCTTTTTACTGTGCCTAATTTATAAATTAATTTTTATCATGGGTATGTACGTATAGGAAAAAACATAGTATATATTGGATTCAGGACTATAGTTGGTTTCAGGCATCCACTCAGGGTCTTGGAATGTATCCCCCAAAGATAAGGGGAGAGTACTGTATGCTGTGATATCTCAGGGACTTAACAATGCTCCTGGAATGTTAAAGGCAATGAGGAAATACTGCAGGTAAAAATAGGTTTTTTAAAACATCATTTAACCTAGCACTTTCCAAGCTTTTTAAAAAAACTACAAAGACCCTTTCTACATTAAACCCCATTGGAAGAGAAAGAGAAACACCAGTAAGGAATTTATTACAATAGTTTAGGCAAGAAGCAAAGAAAATGTGAAGTAAGGGCAGGGGCCTTAGAAATAGAAAGGACAAGATGGATTAAAAATCCCTGTTCCTGTAAATCATAAAGTAGCTTAGCTTTTTTAAGGACTTGTCTTTTGTCCTGTCTTGAAAATATTCCTTAGATTGAACTTCTTCTGAAGAACATAAAAAGGCTAAGCAATTAGATATGAGTTATTCAAGAGGCTCTTACTTCCTAATTAAAATTAATTTGGCCCAGCCATAGTTCATATGAGGAAAAACTATAAATGGGAAAAAGAGCCCCTGCTAGGTTTTTTTTCCTTGTCAGTATAACATGATATATTGAATATTGACTCTTTTAATTTTGTCTTTATTAATTCAAATTTTCTGGTAATTTGAACAGAGGCTTGGCTGACACAGCTTTTTTTTTTTTTTAGCATAACTTTTACTTTTTTGAAGTAAAATTTTCTAGTATAAATATGATTGAAGAGAATTTAACATATATAGACCTATTTTTAAGTATTCTTAAGCCTTTTAGAAAAATCCATTAATATAGCCAGGTGTGGTGGCTCATGCCTGTGATCCTAGCACTTTGGGAGGCTGAGAGGGGAGGGTTGCTTGAGCTCAGGAGTTTGAGAAGCCTGGGCAATAGCGAGACCTCATCTCTATAAAAAAAAAAAGAAATTAGCCAGGTGTGGTGGTATGTGCCTGTAGTCCCAGCTGCTCAGGAGGCTGAGGCAGGAGGATCGCTTGAGCCCAGCAGTTTGAGGTTGCTGTGAGCTGTGATGATACCATTGCACTCTAGCCTAGGCAACAGAGCAAGACCCTGTCTCCAAAAAAAAATCCATTAATATAGAAAAATATGTTAATTCTAAATAATTTTAAATCAGTTAATTAGAATAAGTGGGTATATATTGAAGTTCGCTTCTTTTGACTAATGTGATTTAATTTATATACTTGAGAGGTAAAGCATCTTTTCTTTAAAAGTATTTTATAATGAAGATTTCACTAATCCAAAGTATGTAGCTTTCTTCCCTAATTAGCAAAAAAAGAAAGAAAACATTGTACTGCATATTCACCTAGCATGGCATGTATAAAACACTTTAGAATAAATTCTTAGGGTACCTTTGTTCTTCTCTGAGGCATCTTGTCTTGAAAATATTTCTTACGTTGAACAACTTCTGAAGAACAAATAAAAGAGTAAGCAATTAGATATGAGTTATTCAAGAGACTCTTGCTTCCTAATTAAAATTAATTTGGCCAAGACATATAGTCTCAGATGAAAGAAGCAAGGTGTGGAGAAATACGATATCTTTTGTCCTAAAAGTACCTATATATTTTGAGGAGGGGAATTCGATAGCTGAGTGGGCAGGAAAGGAGGAAAGACCTGGTTTTCACTGTATTTACATTTGTACCCTTTGGATTTTGTGCCATACGCATTTAATACCTATTCAAAAATATATAGAAATTTAAAAAATTTGAGAGTGTTCAAATCTGTGATGAGTATTTGTATGTTAGATGTGGTCAGAGAGATAGATATTTTCTTTTCCAGGATTATGCATTAAAAAATTCTTTCATTCACATTTTAAAATTTCATCATAATTTATATTCTATACTTTTAACTGGACATAAAATAGTTCTATAAATTTGGATTCCTTGGATTTCTTAGCTGTTTTCTATTGATTTGGTGCTGGGCATTCTAAAATAATCCTTTTAACTAGAATCTTTACCAAATTACTGGGAAGCGCTTCTAATAATGCTCTCTACACATGTATTTAATAAAGATAATGTGAAAATTTTTTGAAAAATTTGAAGAATTGTCCAAATAATTTAAAAATTTTACCAAAATTCAATAAAGTATTCTTATTTAAGCAACATAGTCTTCTCTTACAATGTAGTGAGAGATTTGGAACATGACAAAAGAAATGTGAAGGAAGGAAAAGATTGGGAGCTAAAGAAGGTAACAAGTCAGCAATTGAATTAAATGTTTCCGAATATACATTTCTTTCATAGCCCTTGTCTCATCTGAGCTTCACAATAAGCCCTGTGAAGTGGAATGAAGGTGCAGAGTGTAAATGAACTTCAGATAAAGAGTCTAGAACTAGGCCAGATGTGGTGGCTCGGGCCTGTAATGCCAGCACTTTGGGAGGTTGAAGTGAGAGGATTGCTTGAGGCCAGGAGTTCAAGACCAGCCTGAGCAAGAGTGAGACTCTATCTCTATCTCTATCTCTATCTCTACAAAAAATAGAAAAATTAGCAGGACATGGTGGCATGGGCCTGTAGTCCTAGCTACTCAGGAGGTTGAGGCAGGAGGATTGCTTGAGCCCAGGAGTTCAAGGCCGGAGTCAGCTATGACGCCACTGTACTCTAGCTGGGGCAACAGAATGAGACCCTGTCTCAAAAAAAAAAAGAAGTCTAGAACTAAATTCAAAAGACTTTAACATTGTTCATCTGAGTAAATAGTGTTTTTTCATAAGTTAATGCCTGATTTTGTGTTTTAAATTACTGTTTGACAAATTCATTATATAATCTCCATTTATAAATTCACTATAATTAGCCCTACAGAAGTTTAACTGTTGTACTGTAGACATATTTCA